CTCCTACACAACAGTGCAAGTCCTTCCCTCACTCATATACAACATTGCAAGTCCTCTCCTCACTCCTACACAATACTACAAGCCCTTCCCTCACTCCTACACAACCCTGCAAGTCCTTTCCTTACTCCTATACACTGCAAGTCCGTCTCTCACTCCTACACAATACTAGAAGTCCTTCCCTCACTCCTACACAACCCTGCAAGTCCTTCCTCACTCCTCCACAAACCTGCTAGTCCTTCCTTCACTTCTACACAACCCTGCAAGACCTTCCCTCACTCCTACACAACCCTGCAAGTCCTTCCTTCACTCCTACACAACCCTGCAAGTCCTTCCGTCAGTCCTACACATTATTACAAGTACTTCCTTCACTCTTACACAACCCTGCAAGTCCTTCCCTCACTCCTACACAATCCTGCAAGTCCTTCTTTCACTCCTACACAACCCTGCATGTCCTTCCTTAACTCTTCACAACCCTGCAAGTCCTTCCTTCACTCCTACACAACCCTGCAAGTCCTTCCGTTAGTCCTATACATTATTACAAGTACTTCCCTCACTCTTACAGAACCCTGCACGTCCTTCCTTCACTCCTACACAATACTAGAAGTCCTTCCCTCATTTCTACACAGGACTGCTAGTCCATCTCTCAATCCTACACAATACTAGAAGTCCTTCCCTCGTCTACACAACCCTGCAAGTCCTTGCCTCACTCCTACACATCACTTCATGTCCTTTCCTCACTCGTACACAACACTACATGTCCTTCCCTCACCCCTACACAACACCGCATAACCTTTCCTCACTCTTACAAAATATTGCTTTTTCTTTCCTCACTCCTGCAGTACTACTGTATCTCTACAGTAGTCAGTAGATAAGATTTCAACACACTTTTATAATCTGTTTTAGTATTTATGTGGACGTATTTAACCAACACTTACACATATATAACACTACTTCCTGTCATGTTTGGTAGACTGAGTTATTTAGAGAATGTTCATCCTTTTCTGTACTCTTGATCGTTTCTCTTGTCCATCTTGATGTTGCCTCATCATCTGTGCACCAAGTTATGGTCCTCATCCTCCCTGGAGTAGTATTTTCTGTTAACACCTGTGAAATTTAAATGTTATTAACCAAAATTGTTTTTTTTGTATATATTGCAGGGCGACAAAGAATTAAAATCACTCTTTCTTCATACTGTTATGCCAGCACTCCTCTTTATCAAGAATTTACCAATAGTCAAGTCACACGAGTGGTCACAACAACAAGCAGGGTAAACATTATAATGACTTTTATATTATCTCCACCAGATTCTCAATAATAACCCTCAGATTAACTCAAAATATAGGTATCATGTTGAAGATGAATCATGAAATGCATAACTTAGCATTATAAAGTTAAGAGACCACAAACAAAGGTCAAGTAAAGGAATAATTTAAGTACAGTACAGATGACCACAGCCTAAATTAACCCAAACCAGAACCTCAGCCTTACCATACACTAGAAAATTACAAAAGTATACACCACTTATCTCCATAAAAATATATCCTGAGTCCAGACCAATTGTACCACACTTGCACCACACACTATCACTAGCAAGGCTCGTCTATCTCCCTGCACTTGCCGTGACCCGTACAATGTGGATACCATGCCGCCAATTACCAAACTATTTTACCTAACAAATGCACAACGTTAAGCTGATTTACTTATTTAATACTTATTATAAATTAATATATGTATAACATATTAGAAAATGTTTATATACAGGAACATATGTATAATATAGTCCTACCTACTGAAGAAGCAGTGTAACTACCTCTCAATGAAATATATTCAGTGCCTTATATAACTCCCTATCCAAAGATAAAACACTTGTGTTTTATTTTCAGTCTGGTGAATGAGATAGAGCATTTGCGACGAAATTCTCACTCCTAAACAACATACCAAGTCCATCCCTCACTCCAACACAATACTACAAGTTCATCCCTCAATCTCGCATAACATACCAAGTCCATCCCTCACTCCTACATAACATACCAAGTCCATCCCTCACTCCTACACAACATACCAAGTCCATCCCTCACTCCTACACAATACTGCAAGTCCTTCCCTCACTCCCACACAAAATACTAAGTGCATCCCTAACTCCTACACAATACTACAAGTCCATCCCTAACTCCTACATAATACTACAAGTCCTTGTCTCACTCCTACACAACATACCAAGTCCATCCCTCACTCCTACACAAAACTACAAGTCCTTCCCTCACTCCTACATAATACTACAAGACCATCCCTCACTCCTACACAATACTACAAGTTCATCCCTCAATCCCGCACAACATACCAAAGCCATCCCTCACTCCTACACATCATACCAAGTCCTTCCCTCACTCCTACACAACATACCAAGTCCATCCCTCACTCCTACACAATACTACAAGTCCATCCCTCACTCCTACACAACATAACAAGTCCTTCCTCACTCCTACAAAACATACCAAGATCCCTCACTCTTACTCAACATACCAAGTCCTTCCCTCACTCCTACACAACATAACAAGTCCTTCCCTCACTCCTACACAACATACCAAGTCCTTCCCTCACTCCTACACAACTTACCAAGTCCTTCCCTCACTCCTACGCAACATACCAAGTCCTTTCCTCACTCTTACACAACATACCAAGTCCTTACCTCACTCTTACACAACAAACCAAGTCCATCCCTCACTCCTACAAAACATACCAAGATCCCTCACTCATACTCAACATACCGAGTCCTTCCCTCACTCCTACACAACACACCACGTCCTTCCCTTACTCCAACACAACATACCAAGTCCTTCCCTCACTCCTACACAATTCTACAAGTCCATCCCTCACTCCTACACAACATACCAAGGCATTCCCTAACTCCTACACAATACTACAGGTCCATCCCTCACCCCTACACAACATACCAAGTCCTTCCCTCACCCCCACACAACATACCAAGTCCTTCTCTCACTCCTACACAACATACCATGCCCTTCCCTCACTCCTGCACAACATGTCAAGTCCTTCCCTTACTCCCACAATGCTGCAAGTCCATCCCCACTCTCCACACAACATACCAAGTCCTTCCCTCACTCCTACACAACATACCATGACCTTCCCTCACTCCTACACAACATCCAAGTCCTTTCCTCACTCCTACACAACAAACCAAGTCCATCCCTAACTCCTAACCAAAATACCAAATCCTTCCCTCACTCCAACACAACATTTCAAGTCATTCCTTCACTCCTACACAACATACCAAGTCATTCCCTCACTCCTACACAACATACCGAGTCCTTCCCTTACTCCAACACAACATACCAAGTTCTTCCCTCACTCCTATGCAATGCTACAAGTCCATCCCTCACTCCTACACAACATACCAAGGCATTCCCTAACTCCTACACAATACTACAAGTCCTTCCCTCACTCCTACACAACATACCACGTCCTTCCCTTACTCCAACACAACATACCAAGTCCTTCCCTCACTCCTACACAATGCTACAAGTCCATCCCTCACTCCTACACAACATACCAAGTCCTTCCCTCACTCCCACACAACATACCATGACCTTCCCTCACTCCTGCACAACATACCAAGTCCTTCCCTCACTCCTACACAATACTACAATTCCTTCCCTCACTCCTACACAATACTACAAGTCCATCCCTCACTCCTGCACAACATACCAAGTCCTTCCCTCACTCCTACACAATACAACAAGTCTTTCCCTCACTCCTACACAGTTCAACAAGTCCATCCCTCACTCCTACACAACATCCCAAGTCCATCCCTCACTCTTACACAACATACCAAGTCCTTCCCTCACTCCTACACAACATACCAAGTCCTTCCCTCACTCCTACAAAATACCAATTAAATCCTCACTATACACAACAAGAAGCCCATCCTCACTTCTACAACCATACCAAGTCCATCCTCACTCCTACACAACACTGCAAGTCCATCCCTCACTCCTACACAACATACCGAAGTCTATCTCCTCCTACACAATACTCAAAGTCCATCCCCTCACTCCTACACAACATACCAGTGCATCCCTCACTCTTACACAACATGCCAAGTCCTTCCCTCACTCCTACACAACATACCAAGTCCTTCCCTCACTCCTACACAACAAACCAAGTCCTTCCCTCACTCCTACACAACATACCAAGTCATTCCCTCACTCCTACACAACATACCAAGTCATTCCCTCACTCCTACACAACATACCGAGTCCTTCCCTCACTC